ACCTTAACCCCCATGGAGATCCAGGCCGCCCCCACGAAGCCTGCACATAGCCCCCCTGGAGGTCCAGGCCTTCCCCACACCTAACCTTAACCCCCATGGAGATCCAGGCCGCCCCCCACGCCTGCACATAGCCCCCCTGGAGGTCCAGGCCTTAACCCCACACCTAACCTTAACCCCCATGGGGATCCAGGCCCTCCCCACACCTAACCTTAACCCCCTGGAGATCCCAGGCCCTCCCCACACCTAACCTTAACCCCCATGGAGATCCAGGACCTTCCCCACACCTAACCATAACCCCCATGGGGATCCAGGCCCTCCCCACACACCTAACCTTAACCCCCATGGTGATCCAGGCGTTCCCCACACCTAAACTTAATCCCCCCTGGAGGTCCCAGGCCTTCCCCACACCTAACCCTAACCCCCATGGAGGTCCAGGCCGCCCCCCACGCCTGCACCAGAGCCCCCCTGGAGATCCAGGCCGCCCCCCACGCCTGCACATAAAAGCCCCCCTGGAGGTCCAGGCCCTTCCCCACACCTAACCCTAACCCCCATGGAGTTCCAGGCCGCCCCACACGGCCTGCACAGAGCCCCCCCAGGAGGATCCAGGCCTTCCCCACCACCTAACCTTAACCCCCCATGGGATCCAGGCCCTACCCCACACACCTAACCTTAACCCCCATGGAGATCCAGGCCGCCCCCACACGCCTGCACATAGCCCTCCCTGGAGGTCCAGGCCTTCCCCACACCTACCTTGAACCCCCATGGAGACCCAGGCCCTCCCCAACACCTAACCTTAACCCCCATGGAGATCCAGAGTCCGCCCCCACACGCCAGCACATAGCCCCCCTGGAGGTCCAGGCCTTCCCCACACCTAACCCTTAACCCCGCATGGGAGAATCCAGGCCGCTCCCCACACCTAGCCCTTAAACCCCCATGGAGATCCAGGCCCTCACCCACACCGAACCTTACACCCCCTACGGAGATCCAGGCCCTCCCCACACCTAACCTTAACCCCCACATGGAGATTCCAATTCGCCGTTTCCCCACAAAGAACCTAACCTTAACCACCCAAGGGATCCAAGGCCTATGCCCCACAACCTAACCATGAACCCCATTAGAAAGAACCATGCCCCGCGCCTCAGCGCCCTGCACATAGCCACCCCTGGAGGTCCCAGCGCCTCACCCGCAAACACCTAACCTTAACCCCCATGGAGGGTCCAGGGCCTTGCTCCCCACACCGAACCTTAACCCCCATAGAGATCCAGGGCCATCCCCACAGCCTAACACTTATACCCCCAAGAGAGATCCAGGGCCGCCCTCCGCCTGCCACTGTCACATAGGCCCCCCCCTGGAGGGCCCAGGGCCTTCCCCACACCCTAACCGATCCTTAACCCCAAAACATGGGCAGACACCCGGCCCTCATCCCAGACCTAACCCACTGAACCGGTCTGGAGGTCCTAGGTAGCCCCCACACATGAACAGAGCCCGACCCTGGAGAACCAAGGCCTTTCCCACCCCGCGCTCCGCAGCCTACAAAGCAGCCACTAAGTGTTTTGAGCCAACAAAACCGAGGTGCCTATGCTGTAGTAACTGGGCCTCGCTGTGGGCCAGAGTGGCAAAGGCGATGGAAAATCGGGGAAGTCATTGAGGTCCTCCCACCACGCAGGCTTCGAAATCCGGCCCACCAGCACATTAGCATTATCGATTGGCACACTAGTTGCTGTGGCGCAACCAGGCCTGTGATAGGCTACGATTTCAAGGCCGTACTTCCAAGGGCTTTAGTTCCGGGGTTAAAACCTCGCCGAGGTCCCCCCCCTGGGTCCTCAGGCTTTCCCAGGCGCTGCATTTATGGCCGGCTTTCTAAAGCTGTCGTCGGTGATAGAACACCTCACACAAGAATCCCCGCGGGTTCTGGGACCACCGGCATGGCCCCTATTGATATAAGCCCGGAGTTAAGAGGCTGTTTTTCCACGGGGTTCAAACACTCAGAGGACCGCCCCCTGGGTCTCAGGGCTGTTCCCAGTGCCGCATTGATGTGTCCAGGAATTTCTGCCCGGATTGGCTAAGCTTTTTTCGGGTATAGAACCTCCCACAGAAAACCCCTCATGTTCTGGGACCACGCGCATGGCCTCTATATTAAAAACAGCCGTGATTTTAAGGGCTTTTTTTCGGGATAAAAACACTCCGACGCCCCCCTGGTCTCTTCTGCTTTCACAGTGCTGCATTAAAGACCGGATATCTAAGCTTTTTTCAGGGTATAGAACCATCCACGAAGAATCCCCCGGTTCTGGTACCCGCATGGCCCTATTTAAGCCGGATATAAGGGCTTATTTTCAGGGGTCTCTAAAACCCCAGGGACTCACCCTTGGTATCTGGACCTTACATTGCTTCTTTTTCAAGACAAATTTCATGACGCTCTCATCCCGGGGAGAAATGCGCCC